CGTTATCAYCACGATRTTAGCCARTGAYTAAACCCRAGCCGATGTCGCCGACTCGTCTCCGTTTCTCTATATACACTTCTAATTCGATCCGATCAATCGAGATAAGTATTCATGCTTTAATCTTAATTTGACGCCGTCTCTCCGTATGTCGTCTTCGACTTTGATTCGTTTCACCGAATAATATTAATATTAGTGATTGACTTATATTTGGTTACGGTGATACCGTTCGTGTTATTAATATTATATAATCATGGCATAATTACATAGTTCTTAATTAGTGGCATCATATCGATTGCCTAATATATTAAMTTGTAATTGATTATTATTCTATTTATTAAGAAACATGCAATCGTTGATATGCTATTGTGCTAGTTACCRCTKATGTTTTATTGATTTTCTTCGATAATTTTGGTTAAMACTCAACCACCATCGTTTATTATTTATTGCTTCACTAATTGTTGGTTCACTTGGTTTAGCATTCATTAGTTTGGTCATGATTTATCACTTGTAATCTCATGCTTGATGCTTCAATATAAAATATAGCATATTGATTCATGCTTCATAAGTGTAAAAATATTAAGGATTGACTTTTGCATGATTCATAACAAAATTGATTTAGTATTCAATATCGATGATCTAGTATTCATACATCTGTCAACCCATGCTTTATCGATTATTAATCCACTATTATTAGAATTCAATCTAGTATAATGATCAGTTTTTGACTTATGTTTGTTGATCTAGAATTTTCTAGTGAGATGCCAATTAATCTCCATATTAGAAGTTCCACTTAATTTTGTTGTTAGAACTTTATTAACTTACTACAATCGATCATGTTTTATTGHCAGATTCAATATATTTTCTTTGTTCGAATATAAAAGTCTAGCCGATAGAGACGTTCGGACCGTTTGAGCAAAGACGTTGTCTCAGTCATAACTCAATGCGTTATCGAAAGTTTGGAGAGATCCGTTCTCAATCGAGGTCTCCGTTACGGTCGAGGTAAGTGCCGCACGTGCTTTATAAATTATGGTCATCGCATCATGATCATAGTTATAC